TTTGTTTGGGCAGTTTTATGAATTGTTTCAATGCTCATTTACCGGTTGGCCTAATGGGTGCATTGCCTCCACCCACACACCCACTGGCCCACACACATGGCTATAATATGCGGTCCATAAAGTGCAGAAGTTTTTCCAGTTTTATTGCTGGGTGTCGGCACAAATAGATGTGGCATCATTGATAGAAGATTCTTGCGGTGGGTGGGCTGAGCTTCCTTTAGAACCAGGGACTACCAGCAACAGCCTCATCCTCACCACTCTCTGAATAACTTTGGTTCCATCCTAGATATCTGGCTATTTCCAAGCTTTCTCCACCTCTTCCCCATAGATACTGTCCAGTTCGTCAAAAGTTTGATCGAAATGCATGTTGAGAAAGCCATTTCCTTTTCGGAATAATGGTTTTCGAAAAGTTACCCAAAAAAAAAGCAACAACAACTTGGGCAACCGTCAGTCATTAACGCTCCAGTCGTTCCACTTGCAAATCAATTATCTGGTATGCCAGAAAAGTTGAGAAAGCATCAGCAAGTCGTTGATTTACTTGTTCAACAGTCAACATTGGATCCTTCATGGAGCCCCCCCCAGCCCCCTCCTGCTCGAGTGCACATATCAAATGGGAACTCAACAATAAACTGGGTTAGGAATGCCAGAGTCGGCTCTCCCGACACGATTTCAATTTGCTTAGCTGATAAATGCCAAAAATTAATTCAGCCAGCACACAACATGCCCCATGCCCCAGTCCCCAGTCCCTATCTATCCACGAGCATGGTATGTGTGTGTGTGTGTAACTAGAAAATATTTTCACTTTTTGCTGTGATTCGTTGGGGCTTCGGCTTCGGCTTGGGTTTGGGGGTCTCCTCGGGCACACACTGATATTTATGTAAAAAGAAAGAAAGTTGGCTTTCTTCTGGCAGTGTCAGGCACAAAGTTGCACCACTTCTGCATCGCCTTCACGTCCGACCGTGCCTCTCCTCCCCCTGTTCCCCTCCCCCTCCCCCTCCCTTACGTAGTAAACGTACTAAATAGTTTCTCACGTGACTTTTGCCCATAAAAAATGGCTTTATTGCTGCACACGTATTCATTAATGGCAGCAATGAACCCACATGTGAACTCTGCTGCAGAACTACGGTACGGGCATGCTTGAGGAATGCCTTCCCCCGTGGAGGAGGAGGCAGCCCACCGCCTCCCTCCCCCTCCCCGTTGCTGCTGGCTGCATTCAGAAATGGTTGCAAGTCGTCTGCACAGGAAGTGCATATTAATTGTGAAAATTTGTACGGATATTTCTTCGAAAAATAGTTGCCCTCCTTTCGGTGTGTTGCTGGAGGGGCCGGAATGGGGGAGACTCCGTAGCCCGGCCTCTGCCTTATTCCGTAAAATTTTCTATTGCTTTGAATTCTTTAAATCCAGCATTGAACGTGAGCTTTGCGAAAACTGGAATGAATAGAGACTTCTCACGGTTGGCCGTAAGTGCTTCCGACATGGAATGGGCCATATTTTTATATGTAACAAGATATTGCAGATCCTTGGAAAACGTTGATGGTTAAGCTACTGGAAAGTTCCTATAGAAAATATTTTGTGCAACATGTATAGGAAAGTATAAGAGATTGATGCTGTGGATCTCTGAAGAGAGTGCTTGAGAGATTCTTGGATCTAATAGCAACTATGATGTACAAATGTCTGTTTATACCTCAGGAGTTGTGCCCACACGGAAAATCTTTAAGCATCGGTCTCTACAAATACTAGCCTTCGTGCATAAATGGTACCAAACATCTGCTTAATCTCTTAATACACGGCTATAAAACGATCAATCTTCAATCCTATGACACACAATTTCCAGGTTTTTTGAGTTTCTTAATCTTCAACTTAATCTTTCTTGCCTTTGGGGTACGATATTCGGAGATATTTGGGCACTCTCTGCCTCTTACTAATATGCCACTGAAGTGTTGTCAAAGATATCTTCTCCACACGTCCCAGCCCTCCCTCCTTCGAGGGCTCACTACCCATATATTTTCTATATATTTCCCCATGTTTTTCACAGTCTAAAGATTCAATATAAATGGTGAGATCTCATAGCAAAGATCCTTAATTTTATGCAAAATAATCCTATATTCATTTCATTATAAAGATTTACTTGTATCTTTCCCGTTTCACAATCTAATGCGTTCGCCAGTTTAATGATGTCCTTCAATCAGATACATTCGTGTCTGAAACGTTGGATATAATGAATAAATTTCCCTGACGAGCGGACAATTATCCGTTGCTGTAGAGAATGGTAATGAATTTTTCATTGATTTCCCTCGAATCGAGGCTCCCTTTCGCTCCCTTTCGCCCCTTTCGCCCCCTTCGCTGCCTTTTCGCTCCCCGTGTACTTTCTGTCACTGTGTGTGTTTTCAATTATTCGCGAATTTCCAATAATTCAATGACGGGAATGCCTTGGCCCCTGTCATCCACTTGTAATTACGTAATAAGGCAGCGAATGCTTTAAAGCCGCTTACCGTTAACAATCATTCCGGAAATATCAGGCGGCGGCGGCAGCAGAGGAGGCAGGCCCATGCCCGACTCCGTGTAAAATAACATGTTATTGCACTTTTCTTTTAAATGAATGCAGTAAGCTCCCCTGAGGGAGCACGTAGTCCCCAGTCCCCAGTCCCCAGTCCCCACATGACAATTGCAAGGCGCTGATAAAAGTCGGCGTATTTGCGGTCGCTCCGTCCGCCTTCGGGGCTCCGGGTCTGTCCTTCGCCTTGACAGGCAGGGCAGGGGGGCGGACAGGACGCAAAGGGCAAGGGAAAATGCATTTTCAAACCACAAAAATAATTAAAAACTTTACGCGCTGTCATGTGTGCGGGCTCAGGGCCGTGGGGTTGTGGGGCCGTGGGGCCGTCGGGCCTTCGAGGCAGTTCTCGCATTTAATCCTGTCAGACAGGACACACACAAACACCCACGCCTGCCCGTCGTCTGGCGGTCCTGTGCCGAGGTCGGGCGATAAAAATCAAAGACACGTCTGATGGCCAGACCAGAGCGCAGTCTTGGCCTTTAAATGAAATTGTCTTGCCGATCCGGGTCCGGATAGGAGCGCCAGTCCTGGCGAACCAGTGAAAGCTCCATGGCTGCCATGGGTGTAATGCATGCCTCTATCTCCCGATCTCTATCGGGATACTGTTATATCTCCACTAACTACCGGGTATTCTGCAGTCGCAATATCCCCTATACCAGCAGCTCTCTCTGATGGAAGTCCATGCCTCCTTTTTGAAGTCGTTTGCCCTCTGTTTGCAAAGTGCAAAAGCCAAAAGGTTTACGCACCATAGCGCCGGGGAAAAGTTCCCTTTTGGCCATCTCCTGCTCCGCTTCACAACTCCTTTGAGACTCCTGTATCCGGCAAAGCCTTAGCACTTTAGTGGAGGCAGCAGCAGCTGGTTGGTTGGTGCCCCACCTGAAGATGTCCCCTTGCTGCTGACCATCCTCGTAATTATGCCCAAATTTGGGACTAACTTTTCATTTCGATTCAATTGTGGAGACGGAGACCAGTCCGGCAGAAGAGCACTGGCACCCAAGTGGGTTAAGGACCAAGGCCAAGACACAGCCAGAGCCACACAGAGCCATCTTTAACGGACGGCTGCTCCTCCTCGTAGGCCCGTAAAAAACATTTGCGCAATGTCAACAAATTTGCGCGCTTATTAGATTTTCGTGGTTGCACACAATTTCGCCAACTAAGACCGCCGCAGAGAGATAAAGTGCAGCCTGCGAAAATATGAATAAAATAGCGAAAACTTTTCACAAACGGAAGTGCATGCTGCGTTTTTCAGACCCCGGAGTATGGCCACGGCTACGGCTGCGGCTGCATGGGTCCGAGCCCGGCTTTTAGTCCTGCTGCTGGTCCTGGTCCTGCTGCTGGTCCTGGCTCTGGTTGCGGTTGACCGGGACGGGTCGAAACGGTGGGCCGCGCCTTCTCGCGACGGTCGGTCACGGTCGCCGGGTTTGCTAATGAGTTTTGTTGTCAGTTCTCGCTGGCCAAGCAGAAATTGGGCGGCGGCGGCAGCGGCAGCGGCATCATTTGGCTGCTCCTGGCACTCCCAGCTCCTGCTCCCTGCTCCCTGCTCCCTGCCCCCTGCTCCTTGCCCTTGCTGGGATTTATGTGGAGCACTGCCCCTGTGCACGGGTGTGTACGGATATCTGTGTGTGCGGTAAGTTAATATTTGCTGCATAAATTCCAGTGCGTTGGAATTTACTGCGCTCCGTTTCGTTCCTTTTGGCTTTTGTCGTCGTCCTGCTCGTTTTTTGTTGTGCGGAAATTATGAAAATGCAGCCCCCCCCTCCCCCTCTCCGAACAGAAGGAGCAGAAACCGGAGCGGAGGTCCAGGGACATCCATGGAGTCTGGTCTAGCTCTGGCTCTGGCCACACACAAGAATATTAATTACTTTTTGCATTTTTAGCTCTGTGCCTGGAATTCCAATGAGCAGATTTTGGTTAATTTGTTCTAGCGAAAATATTTCTTAATTTAAGCGTTAAATCCGCTCCACAAAAATGCACGCTAGAAAGAATAACATTTTAATAAACTAAAAAGCAGCCGAAAAGGCACGAGGAGCACCCAAAACAAAGGGCTACACCTGTGGCCAGCCTCATCACCACAAGTCCAATATGCCAAAATCAGGGACAGGAAGGGACACAGGGAAATGGCTACCAATGTCCCCAAAAACACACACGACGCCAGCACACAACTATGACACTGAATGGTCATAGTTTTCACCAGCCTGGGGAGCCCGGAGGTCGAGGAGACACATTCTCGTTCCCTTTCCCGATTCGCCAAAGCAAACATTCGATTTCCAACAGGGCCTATGATTTTTGATTGCCCAGCGACTGACTTCTCGGGAATAAGTTGACATTTTGGGAATTGGGAGAGCAAGATCAGATCTTCCGCTTAATTTTGATAGCTCCAAGAGTTCTTAATGTCTGCCTACCCGCAATAGCCATAAAACTTTCCTCAAGTACTTGTCTCCAGGCAACGGCCGGACATTTATTACGGACACGCTCGTACATGAAAAGTTTATACATTCAGAAATCATGCCTCAGAAGGAGGCAACACCTGGGTTGCAGATTTGGACTACCAGGTCATTGCCAAATCCTGCTCCTTTTGGAACTCTCTCTCCCAGTGGAGGCTGGAGCTGATGTCGCCGAGGCTCAGCGACAGGTCCTGCTGGGACCGCTTAGTCTCCGCCTTGAAGCGATACAGAATGGGCAAGATGAAGGCTATGGCATCATTGGTTTCGTTGGGCTGCCGGCAGCCCAGGACGTACACAAAGCCCGTGGGGAAGATGGCGAACTTGATTCCGGTCTTGGGCATTATGTGGAAGATGAACGGCTGGCTCTTGTCGGATATGATGTTGGAATAGGACTCCAACTTCAGCCACTCCAGATCCAGTGGAAAGGGCACACAGAATGTGGCGTTCACCACGTTGTACTGGAAATTGTAAAACGCCGGAGTGTAGCCCAGCAGCTCCAGAATTTCCTCGAACTTCGAAAGGCCATCTCGTGCACCATCGCGGCTGTAGGCCTTGCAGAAGATGTTCCCATTGGCGTAGATCGTCAGGTTGCACACCGGATAGACCCGTTGGACGAACAGGGCCGAGTGCTTCTCCGGCTCGTACCGAGAGTTCCCAAGCACTTCGAACAGTGCGTGGAGGTCGTACACGCACTTCGTGTTCACAAAGCACGTGAAGGGTCTGCAGAGAGGGCAGGTCTTTGGTTACACAAATCCACAAAGCCTCGAATGCCGAACCACTCACCGATACAGCAGCTGGAGATGTCTTTCGATATCCGGCAGCACCGACAGGTTGCTAAAAATGTTCACCACATCGTCGTCCGTCGGAGTCTCCTTGTTGGCGGACATCGCGAAAGTTCTATTGCCGTACTTTTTCCTGGAAAAAAGAAGTGAATGCCTCTAGAGCGTGATCCTTTTGCTTCGCCCAGAATTTAACAAATTAAAGCGATTTGACAGCACTTTTCAACTCAATAAAAAGTTTACGTTTCAGTGTTGTGAAACGCCGAAATTTACTCAGACTGAGCCGCGCTGTGAGAAAACGGAACAGCTGTTCCGTGACAAGAACGTTGACTGTTGTTCAGTCACTTGGTTCTATCACCGACTAGTTCGAGCCTCTTTTGACCACTTTTTGATTAAATTACCATTCTATAAGCAGTTTATTTTCGGAATAAGCTTTCGTTTTATATTAATTAAATCACAATACATTTTAGCGGCCATTCGTTGTTTTCTTTGCCGCTAAATTGATATTTTGAGCTTCGAAAAATGTTAAAAATTCAAATTAAATTAATTAAAGATGAAATTTCCGCTGGGCTAGTACTTTGGGCGGCCTCAGTGGATGTACATTGAACCGATTGACGCTTTGATTAAATTCAAACAATGCAGTTTGGCATCGCATCGCAATTCGGAGCACTTGAATGAATGCACTTCCCGGGCAGACAAACAATCGAAATATCACTCACATTCAAATCGCAGAGATTGCATAATTGAAACCCCATTGAAGTCCATTAATAACTTTGTGCGGCAGCGCCATTCAAACATACCCACACTCGCTCACGGCTCCATCGAACGGAACACTCATATTTCTCAGATGGATTTGGTGAATGTGTAGAGGAGATGGAGGGGGGAGGAGTGGGAGGAGTGGGTATTGGGGGGGTATGGGACTTGACGTTAGCTCATCAAACCCGAAAAACCACTTTGCTCAACTCTTTTCAAAGTGCATACATCATCAGCGCTAAGCCAAAACAAAAAAGCAATGCAAAGGGAGCAAAATGAACGATGACGGTGGGGCCGATGGTGGAGGGGGGCGGTGGGTGGATGTGGCGGCGATGGCGGGCGGAAAAGGAAGTGCCGGGCCATGGAGAGGTGTACGAGATTGGCGGTACGAAGAGCGTTGAAAACTTTTGTGCAATGTTGATTTTTCCGCAAGAGTCGTTTTTTGCCATCCACTGGACGGACGGAGACGGACGGAGACGGTCTCAGTCCTTAGTCCCGGGTCCGTTGACGGAACAAACGGAAGCAGGGCCTGCCGCAAGCACTTTATAAAACCCCCAGCTCAGCAAAAGTCTTTCAATAATAATAATATTGGGGCGCAAGAGGGACAACAAAGGCAAATGGGCGAAAGTGCGCGATGCACAACAGAGGCATAGGTGTAATAGAAAGGAAAACGATGTAGGATCAAGACTCTTACTCTGAATCGAACCGGATGCTGGTGTCATTTATTAAACCGTTATATAGCATATATTACGATAGTCTGTAGATGGAACGAACTCCTGGAACGTCCCTCGCATTTAGTGACAGGCTCTATGATGCCGAAACCAAATGGCAAATCGTGTAAATCACAGCCTTGACTTCAGCTCATACCCTTGTCCTGCAATGACCCTTGACCCCCGTGCCCGTGCCACCCGGTTGTTCGGCGAAAATGGATTGAAAGTGGGACTGGAACTGGGACCGAAGGGAGGGGATTGCAAGTGTTCCTGATCCTGATGATGACAAACAAAACAATGGAATCAAAGCGGTTAATGGCTTTTGTGTGTAAAATGAATGAGAATGCGGCAACGTTTCCTGCTTTCATTTGCAGCGTCATTTGCTCTGCTCTCCACATGGATGGGGCAAGAGTGTGCTCTACTCGTATCTGCAACAGTTTTACTACCTATCCAACAGATACACACACACACACACTCGTGCAGTGAGTGTGTGAGACCCGTTATAGACGCTAATCGATATGAGGGGGACACCCCACCCACCCCCACCCGTCCTCTGTGGTGGCCTGGGGGCTGGAAGCTGCAACGACCAGCGTGCAACTCCACTTTCATTATTGGTTTTTTGTTACAGCCCTGCCACCGGCCACAACGCTGACTGCCCTCAAGCCTGCCAAGATTTATCCTGCTGTCTGCCAGGAAAAGACAGACAGAGACAGAGACAGAGAGAGGGAGAGGGAGGGAGAGGGAGAGCTTGCCACAACCGATAATTAAATCGAACAACAAAGGCTTCGATTTGACAGTCCTGCACTTGCACTCATATATCAAATGGGGAATAGACCCTTCCTCCACTCACCCGCAGATCGGCTCCAAGTTCACTTTGCGGGCAGTCAAGGCACACTGAAGCCTTAAGCAATTAGTAGGCAAAAACAAATGGATGATCCGATACTCGATATAAGACGCTTATTTGCTTTGTTTTTTATTCCGCCGATAAAGAATATAAACCCTATTAAAGGGGAAGCATATCATTTGCAAGCTGGGCTTTGAATACAATATCTTTGGGGCTTGGAGAACCGAAGGTGGAATACACTCTTCTTTAGCCTAGAGTAGGTGGGAGAACCTACTGTTTCCCTTAAACTGTATTAATATTTGCTTTATTCTGCTGCTCTTTTTTCTTGGAATTTGCCTGCCCGCACAGCGCAGAGCGCCCAGCCCAGGGAGTGGGAAAATTAGGGGCAATCCGGGACCCAAGGCGACCAGCTAATTAGACGATCAAGGACTGCCAGGGGCCTGTCAGCACACGCCCACGAGAGTCATTATAGGCCGTCGGAATGGGGTAGAAAATCAATAGCTCTATTATTTCGCGGAATGTAGACGGCTCCGAGCGGAGGCTCGATGCGAAGCGATGTGTTGATTGACAGCCTAATTGAGGTTTCTTGACTTCTTCAATTGGGGGCAGGCCAATGACCGTTTCTGTTTGTGCTAATAATAATATTGTTGGTGTAATATTGGAGCGGCAGAACCAACGACGACGACAGCGACAACGACAACGACAACGTCTTGTTTAGTTAGTCATTAGGCCGGGGAGAGGCGGCGGGGGAGGCTAAAACAAAGGACTCCAACCCAATCACATTAAATATTTGCCGAAACTCGCACTTGATTGCCCCCGTTGTGATGGTGGGGGGGAGGGGGGTGGGGGGTGGGGGGGGGTGTTTCCCTTTTAATTTTTTATTGATTCAACTGTTTAATGGCAATTGCTGTGCAAATACTAATCAAACGCTTGGTTTACGCAATTAAGATACAAATACTGGAGAGATAGAGAACCCCTCAGATACGTTCTGTTTCTCGGTCTTAATTAGCATTTACATTGCGTGCAACATGCTGCAAGACATAAAATTAACGCCAACACGAATGCCCCCAACTCTGCCCACCATTCCAGGGACCTCCTCTTCCTTTGGTTCAATTTTTGGGCGGAACGTTCAATGGACGGCCATTAAAAAGTCTGAGTGGCCGAGCAGAACACAACTTTTTTGTTAATCCCAGCTCCCAACTTTCAAAGGGTTGATTGAACTCTTTATTTGCGGCAGAACTATACACAAAAAACACCATCAAACACTCGCACACAGGGAAATACGAGTAATACAAATAAAAACCTGGTGCCTGGTTCCCGGTTCCTGGTTCCCGGTTCCTGGTTCCTGCTTCCTGGCGGGGCAAAGTTTACAATCACTTGTTCGCTGGTTGGTTCAATGTCCCCTGGAGTTTCGTTTGTGAACTCAATTATGTGGGGATATCAAACATTTCAAAGGAAATATCTCCGGCCCGGCCCGAACATAATCCAAAGCCATCCAAATTCACTCGGAACCGCAGACTCTTGGCCAAAAAAAAAAACCCGAAACTTCTGCTGAAATAATCTTCCACCGAGTTGAATAGCTTTTGAGTGTTTTAAAATACTCGTGCTCGTCCTCAGAGAAGGAGAAACAGTGTGATATCCGTTTGTGCTCATTCAAATCGCATGTAAGAAGAATTTAGAGCATTTTTTGGCACTCGCAACAGACACCAAGAAGTCAGAAAGAAGCTTGGAACTGTTCCAGAACTAGAGACATCCTCCGAAATGGGCATAGGAATGGTGGAATGGTGGAATGGTGGGATGGTGGGGTGCACGAGAATGGAATGGAATGGAAGGGAAGCGGAAGTTGCATGGCGCTGAAATACACTGATGCATACTCATATTGTTCGGGGCGACAATAATAAAATATTATATTTCGAGGCAACACAGAATTCCGGGCACTTTTACTTGGGTTTTTTCCCATTTTATGCGTATAATTATTGCCATTTTAAATAATCAAAATAGTTTAAAACGAAACCAATGGAAAGGTTGAAAGCCCGTACGTTTCAGGAGCACCTTTGCCTGGAATTTCCCACTAAAAAACATGTCAAATCACAATCGTGACTCCTCCGGGCAGTGTATTCCAACACCGTCACGTTCACGTCCACCTCGGGTGGACCACCTTCCGCTCTCTATGCTCTGCTCCACTGGTCGGACGGAGCTCTGCTTCCAATTTCAAAGTAAAACTTTAATGGCAACAAATGGTGCCCCGCCAGGTCCAGTGCCATTTTATATTTGATATTTTATTACATTACATTTCCCTGGCTTATTACATTTTGGCTTTTAAGCTGTTGACACAACTTGATTTCCGTCCGACCCGACCCTCTGCTCCGTGAGGATCCTGCCCCAGAGTGGCGTGGTCAGTGGCGGGTTCGCTGGATTCCTGTCAACCTCCCACGTCGTTTTGTTTCAGCTTTCTGCTGGGTGTCCTTTCCTGTCGCTGTCTCTGTCTCCGTCCCTGTCCCTGGCCCTCGCTCCTCTTCTTGCCTCTGGTTCTTGCCCCGTTCAGACAATTTTGACTTTTGCGTTTTTGTGCTTTCACTTTTGGAAGTTGGAAGTGGACTGGCGGGGGGCCTGTTGGCTGGGGGGTGCTCCCCCGTCTGGCTGGTAGCGAGGACGATGACGATGACGACGACGACGACGACGACGTTGACCCAGAAACAAAAGTGTGTCTAATGGGTTTCTGTTATGTTTTTTGACATTTTGGGAATAATGTTTCCTCTTCCGGTTTAAGGTGCGCTGCGCTTCTCCGTGTATTTGCTGCAATTTCCGTCTGTGCCCAGCCGCCGCCGTCGCCCCTGCTCCCGCCTCCGACGGGAATGAGGTCAACCTGCTCTTAAGTTGATTTCATAACGAGCAAAAAAGCACCGGGAGAGGGAGAGGGAGAAGGAGCAAAAGAAATGGCTGAAAAAGTGAAAAGTCATGGAAATTTTCGCCTTTGCCCGGAGATCAAAGATGTGCGATTCCGATACTGCCAGCTAATTTCAGCGCCGCGGCGCGTCGTAAACATGACAACCTAATTATTTTTTGCTTTTTTCTCTTGTCTCGTGGCGGTGGGGATCCCCACCCTTGCCGCGTCCTTGCCGGCTGCAGCTCTGATTAATGGATAAAGTCTGCGCTGCGACATTTGCATGCGAAATTGAAAATAAATATTTGCACAGATAAATGCAAAAGGGAAGAAGGGAAAAGCAGCTCCAGCCGAAGGACACAGGCAGCTACTAATTTCCCTTTGACTTTTCGAGTGCGTCGTGGCAATCAGAAGACACCCAGATACGACCCTCACATCCCACAAATACAAACACTGCCAATAAGCAAGGACATATGGCCCACGTCTGGGTGGCCAAGGAATTCCCGACGCCCGCTGACGAGGGGGGCTGGAGGCCTCTTCATGTCAGCAGACAAGACAGCTCTAGGGGGGGGCCCTCACCCCCTCTTGCCCAGCGCCATTTGATTAATATACACTCTCCACACCACTCCCCTCCCCTCCCCCGCGCCTGCCCTCGTCGCGCTTTCTTTTCGACAATCGAAATTAATTGCACTGCTGGAGGAGGTAATGTCTGTCCCTTTTATGCCCAACTTTCGCCAAACACCTGACGGCGTCTCGCGAAACTTTCGAAAGAAGAGCCAGGACTGGGGGGGGGGGGGGGGACTGGGGAGCCAGCCCACCCTTCAGGCGGCTTCAAAGGCACGAAAAAACCCAAAGCTTAAAATACAAAAATCAATAAATTTAATTAAAGAGCTTACTTAAAGCTATCGAGAGGGAATTAAGGGATTCTGGGGATGTATTTAAGGAGTCGAAGGATTTTATAAAAGTAAAATTACATTTTTGAATGGGAAGAACAGACAAATTTGAATGGAGATATATTTATAGAATTTATGGAAATCAACAACAACAGATACAACTATTAAAGAATAGGTTTTGAATGAAATTCTTCCGAAAATAGACAGAAATTAACATAAACACATACATATCACAGGAGTGTGGATACCAAATTTGGTTGCTCTGGCTCTTATAGGTTCTGAGATCCTTGAACTCATATTTTGCATTTGGCAAAACCGACCATGAGACCTGTGTGTTAGAGAGAGACACAGCGAGAAAGAATGAAATTGTTGTCTTGATTCTGGCTATAATAATTATACGATCTTGTTCAGATGCACTCTAGAAGATATAGTCATCCTCTACGATTCTGCGTTTTTGGTTTTCTCGTATCTTTAAAAATGTGGATGCCACAGATTTTCGCCCTTTGTGGGGGCGGAAGTGGGCGGGGCAAAGTTTTGAAATATTTGTGTAGCAGTGACATATCACAGAAGTCTGGATCCAAAACATCGTTGCTCTAGCTCTTATAGTCTTTGAGCATTAGGCGCTGAAGGGGACGGACAGACGGACAGACGGACGGACGGACAGACAGACATGGCTCAATCGACTCGGCTATTGATGCTGATCAAGAATATATATACTTGATGGGGTCGGAAACGATTCCTTCTGGACGTTACACACATCCACAAATCTAATATACCCCAATACTCATTTTGAGTATCGGGTATATTTAACATAAATACATAGATAGAAGTGTTGCAGCTTTCCTTTGTAGGTTTTTATATGATAAAGCCACGTGAAGGGTTCTCGATTTTGTACTTACTCCTTTGCGGAACCTCATTTTACTCATAAAACTTAAAGGTACTCTTCAAATTGTTGGTATATTTAGAGATGTGTTTATAGAATACACAGACTATATCTATATGACAATATAGGGTTATAACTACCATCGAAAACATGGTTTTGCCAAAGAAAAAGCAAGAGTTAATGTCAACACCGCCACCCGCCCCTTTTTGTATGAAAGCCGCTTTGATATTTTTGGGAAAATCATTATATTTAAGAGGCATATTCCGGCAAACTATCGCTATCATCAGCTTCTACAGTGCCAATCACAGGCATCCCCCCGCAGGCCAGGAGCCGTTATCATTCCCGGCAAATGACTGCTATTTATATATGGGGGACCCCCACTATAAGCGTATTCCATACGGGCGTGCTTATACGCATAACTATATGTATTTATATTTACTATATTTGCTCGACCATCATTATCGTTATTAGAGCTCATTAGCAACGTCATTGGGAAGGCGAGGGGCCGAAGCGTTCGAGGGTGTGGCCCGAGTGTCGATGCGTGTGTGCCTGAAAATAGCTCAAAGACCATCAGACACGGGGGCGGATGGGAGCGACCCAGTTCAGAAGATTATTGAATGTGAGCTAATTTGCGTTTTGGGGCTTAAGGCGCTTGATTGAACCAACAACTGCTATTGGGTGGAGAACTCAACGAGCAGAGATTCTCACTTGCTGGATCGTATTATACGGCGGCGGAGACCCATGTCCCTGCCCGCTCCTGTGATCCAAACAATTCACTTAATTAACATAAAGCCAAATGAATGCAAGAACAACCGCAAGCCGAAAGTGGAGACAAAAGTTCACCTGGACCGGAGGTCCCGTGGCCCCTGGAGATCCGCGACCCACTGAGAGGCGAATGCCCGGGAATCCAGTGCCCCATTGTTGGGGCCATTGTCATTTGCAAACGGTGCGAACTTAATTTCTGCGACGATGTCACTCCTCTGGAATGCCCTGTGTGTGCACGCCAGGAGCTGCAGCCGAATCAGAACCGGAATCTGGATCAGAGTCGGAGCTGGAGAGAAATCGGCTTGTGTGCGAAGAGACGGGGGGAAAATGCCTGCCGGAAATCGTCTGCAATGTGCGAGATAACAATTTTCATGCAGTGACCAAGGCGACGATTCAGCTAGCCACCAGGCCAGGCCAGAGCCAGAGCCAGAGCCAGGCCAGAGACCAGTCATCCCCGTCCACCAACTGACAACGACAATGACCGACAATACAACGCACCGACCGCACTCATTATTCGTAATGGCGCTGATGGTGATGATGACAACATCGGTGGCAGGAGCAACAATGGCGACCGCTGCGAAAACAGGAGAGGAGCTCGCCCTCGGGCGAGCACTACAATGGGAATGCCGATGACGATGCCGATGCCGGTGCATTTCGGACGGCTTGTGTTCCACTATTGCATTTCCCATGTACCGGGTCGCAGCGATCCAGAATGTCGTCGTAACATTTAATTTCCGTCAACACCGAGCGAAGAGGCAAGACAACGGGAGAGAGAGAGAGAGAGGGGCATGCACGAGGTGTAGGTGGACTGGGGCACAGACACAACATGTCTGCGGCTAATATAAAACGAAGAATGCCATGACATACGGGTTGCAGCAAGACCAGATGACCAGCACTGCCACAAGGGGAACGGTGAGGGGAAGGGGAAGGGGAATGGGAATCCGAATGGGAATGAGGATAATGATAGCTGTGATGATGACGACATTTGTCCGGCCGTAGCCATTCCGTTCCGCTCCGATGCGGCAATAATCATTAGGTACGTGCGTTAGGGTTTGTTTGCATTCAACAGTTTTGATTGCTGATTGCGCCCGTGGATGGGGAGGTGGAGCTCGAGCTGGAGTGGAATGTTTGGGTCCCTGAGTGGGGGGGATGACTGTCGGGAATTGGAAGCCCCTGGGGCTATAGTTTGTCATCAGAATGCATAGTAATTTTATGTTTACAGGAATTGCCTGTGATACGATCTTAGTAATCGAATACGATTATTCGTAGATGAGAAATTTATTGCTTATATTGATAGGAGCAGATATATTTCCTTAAATATATGTATTGTGTGTGCGTAGATTAGTTTTCAGTTGTGGAAATATGATTTCTTATACCCAAAAATATTCCATTAAATATTCCAAAGAGCTTATTAGCTCTAAAATGTATTACACAGGGACTTGCAACATTATTAAACAAGTAATTAATTCATGCCAAAGGGGAAACAGTGACAGGCAAGAGAAAAAATAAAGAAGGAGCCACACACAATGGAAATGCCGCAGAGAACGCAGGCCCATCTGGACGGAGGAGAATACCTGCCCGAGTCCGGGATTAAGTGCTTTGTTTTCCTCTTCCTGTTCCTGCTGCTGCTCCTGCTCCTGCTGTCGGAGAATGAATTTCAGCATATATTTTATGACACTTAACTTTAATATTAATGCACATCTGCCTTTCCTCTGTGTCCCTGTCTCCTTGCAGCATGGCGGGCCAGGACTTTGCAGGACTCGCTGGCTGCTCCGCATTGGCTTTTGTTTTGTACCTAAACACATTCAACGCTGGATTTGTCTACGATGACAGGTGAGAAAAATTCAAGCGAATTAAAAATTCCATATGTCAGCACGTTGACGAAGGTAAATGGCTTTGACTTTGGTCAGGTCTGCCCTGTTCTGGCTATGACCCCCGGAGGCGACACTTTGTCGCCAGATTGGACCCAAAAAATATAGGGGGGGGGGGGGGCGCGGAAAAAGACAAAAGTTTATTATTAATTGTGCGCCAAGTGCCGCCATTTATTTGATAAAATCGCCATAATAAATTCTCGTCCCGCCTAATTGTAAAACTTGAGGCAGACCAGTTGCTGGGCCCTGCATTGGTGTACACGGGGGGGGGGGGGGGGGGGGGGGGGGTTGGACAGGGGGTGGACGGATGGGGGCAGCCTCTAGCCCCTGTGCCGTTGTCAGAATCAGACGACGGACGATGGAGCAAATTAAAAAACAAAATGTTGATTTATGTTCCACTCCGCTCACAATGGAATCGGAACGGGATTGGTCTTACTTGCCCCACCCCGTCTCGTCTCTCACCTTGGCGCATTGAAATGCTGCAAACGCAAACGAAATTACCCATAAATATCAAAAGTCATGTACAATGGACAGGAATTTCCCCAAGGACTTGGCCACAGTTCGTAGTCCTCGCACACACACACACACACACACACACACAGCTCTGGTCGGGTCGGGTCTGGTCTGGTCTAGCTCTCTCTAGCCGGGAGTCAGCCCCGTCTGACCGTGCTGGAAAACAAGTGACTCCTGGTCCTAGACCTCCTCCTGCTCCTTCTCCTGGTTAAACTACAATGCCAGCGAACAATTGTCGAGGGGTGGGGAGGGGGAAGGGGGATGGGGGATGGGCTGGGATTGGGCTCCGACTGGAGCTCGGAAGTTATGCACAAAGTGCTCTGCTCGGAGCGTTCGTTGTAGCTCGTTATTTTGTGCTGTCCAGAAAACAAGCACAAACTTGCCCACACACACACACACACACAAACAAATAATAAACGCAACTTATGTAACTCAGCCCCATCCCAGTCCCCCGACCCCAGTCCCCCATCCCCCAACCTCTCGCTTCATGGCACAAAAAGTTGTGTGCGAGTTTATGTTTTTGCTCGAACGGAAGCTCCTGCGGTCACTTTCACGCAGTTGCCAACACCCCCCAAGCCCGTAACCAGAGGCCAGCAGAGACCAGCAGAGACCCAAAGCTAGAGCCTACCTATTGGATGTGCCTGCTACCGTGCTCTGCGGTCATCCCGCAACACGGCCACAGTGACCACACGAGAGCCCAAGTTATTATTGTCAAGCCAGGGAGCAGACAAAACATGATTTATTAAACGGGGCAGCATTCCCTTCAATTTGTTTCCTATCAGCTGGAAAAAGAGCACTGAGCATGGGGGGAACCTGCCAATAGGAAATCTCTGTTGTTGGCAATTGTTAAAGAGATATGAGGTTTTAATAAGTTATGGCCAGCCCGTAAAGCGATTGCCAACTTTTTGATCAAGTGCTGTATTTCTTCGGTAATTGAACGAATGCCATACACATTGCATTGTGTGTTTATGGCTGGATGAGCTCTGTTTAAAAATATTAAAGACCGCTGCACACACATAATACCTTTCCCCCATGATGGTCATCCGATTCACACCTTCCACTTGATATATTACGTTCTCAAAAATACCAAAAAAGAAAAAGGGCCGTAACAAAATGTTGTTGCCAAACATCCCCCAATCTCCAGTCTTACAATAATTTATGTGCCGTATTAAAAGGACAGCGACAACAACCGAAACGGCAACAGCAGCGGCAACGCTACGTATACGTAATTTTGATGGGCGGGGGCTCTAGGAGGGAGCCACACTCCGCCAATGCCTAGGGGGAGCCGGAGTAACAGTATTTTTGTGCTCCCTTTTTTATATAAAATCGAAAATTTACACTTTACATAAGCAAAACAGCAACCGCCACAACAAAAACAAGTATACGCGCTGTGGGCAGCCCTGAAGGTGCGGGAGGAGATGGAGAGGGTCCTGAGCTAAAGAGCGGAAGGCAAGAATGGTGTCCAGGTTCGGCTACTGATGCTATGATATATTGTCTTCAACAAAAGCCAACCACAGTCCTGTTTGTCATGTGTGTGTGCGCCTGTAGGTCGGTCCAACAGTGAGCCACAGCCCCAACGAAAATTACACTTCTTTTCTGTTAATGGAGTTGGTGTATTGCCTATAAGAAAAAGTTTTAAAAAATACATAAATCCCATCTATAACTGATTGTTTCCTCGCTGTGAATGTGGTGTTCGAGTCGAGTGGGCCCTTGAAGGATTCTTGTAGTTTTTCTTAAGAACTGGTGAACAATTTAGGCCTAGAAATGTTGGTATTGAATGATCACAGTCCACTGTACAAAGAGTGTGTTGTGGCTGTCCTCCTCGATTGCTGGCGACTCTGTCCTTGCCTCTAGCCCTGTCTCTGCCTGTGGGCCCTCCGGCTCGAGTCGAGAGTGAAAAGCGAACGATAACGGCAGCTACATGCCTCACTTGTAAGCTGCTTCAAGCTTGCCATTGTTGTTGCTGCTCAGTCTCTCCTGTTCGCCTGTGCTCCTGGCAAAGTGCCGCTGCTCTTGTCGTCCTCGTTGTCGTTGCTGTTGTTGTTGCTGTTGCTGCTGGTGGGTGTTGACGTTTTGGATGTTGGCCCGGCTGCGAGCACTCGTATTGCTATTCATTCACTAGTTACGATGATAAAGCACAAAAAAGGGAGCTGCGGAAATTCTGCTGATGACGATAATGTTGACGCTGAGGATGGCTTCCCCTCCCCTCCGCCCTGTCGGATATTAAGCCCATCTAGCCCCCACCATGTGCAGGGGCCTCCAGGTATGAGTATGCAATGAAATTTCTTTTCAATATTTGCCCGTTACTCTCGCATCGCGCGCCCCCGCAAATGAGGCGTACAGCAATTTTTGGTATGTTTTTGTACCTGGCAATCATGGCGGTATAAGGGTATATAGTGTTTGTGGACATTATATGACCAGACCTTGGAGAACAGACGAAAAAAGTCTTAAGATGTCGTGGGCAGGGGCATCCTCCAAAGCGAATACCTCGTTTCATATTTCTTGTGTGGTAAGGCACTCGGGAAATGCCTACAGCTAAACAAAACTAGAAGGTGCATTGCCCTCCAGCCCCACCCACACCCACACCCACACATATGTACGGGTATGAGTGGCTTCTCAATAAGCTGCTCCTTCATCATCGTCGTGTGCTTTTGCTTTGTGCTCTCCCGATAAGAATTTGTTTGCTCTCGAGGACATTTTTGTGGCTGCCTTGGCGCTGGGGGTCTCGGAATGCCAATTGGAATTGAAGTGTAGATGAGTGTGCACCCACGTCCAAACCCAGACCCGGACCCGGACCCACGCCCCAGTCTCAGTCCACGAGTCTCAGTCCAGGACCAATAACTTTGCCTCATAGTTGGGCACGTCTCTCCGGCGAATTTGTTAACCCAATTTGCGGCACCACCCACTCCTCTTGAAATCCTTTTTATTACCATATTCAAGCATTGAAAGCGTTGCACACAAACACAGATACAGACACAGACACGCACACCAATGAACTAAACCTTGCCACAATTCATATTTCCGGTCACCCATTCCAGAGCACAGCCGAGCAGAGCAGAGCGTTCGAATACGAATAGGAAATAAAATATTAAATTGAAAACCGAATTTTTATTCAAAATGCTTTCAAACTTATGTGTTTGCACATGACTTTTCTTTGGAGTTTTCCCAAGACCCGCCACCCAATCCGCCCATTTGGCCCCGGGCCTCAGCGGATGCGTATGTGTTTGCTTAACCTTTGAACTTTTGTGTACCCAAAAACCCCTAAAACTACACCTCGAGGCCGGCTCAAGCATAAAGTAAATATCTGTGCAAATACCATCCGTATTTAACGAAAGTAAATTAAATTTTCAATTTAGATAATAAATAAAAAGGTAAAAATTGTAATTTGCTTGCTATCCGGATTAAAGTGAGCGGAATCCGCAAACACCGGAATATGCCAATAGAAGATAAATCTATTTAAATACATAAGTGAATTAAAACACATTTAAACGCTCTGATGTATTACAATATTTGTAATGTTTTAGGAATTAAGGAATCAAACATTGAATTAGGACAATATTTGCAGTATCTATTGTATTCCGGAAGGAGAAAGGCGAAAGTTACTTTTAAAATTACGCCGGACTTTGTTTTAGGTTCGGTTTAGAACAAACGTTGGTCTACTGCCCTCCGCCTAAGCCTCTTCGATGGGGAGACAATCCCCGATAACATTCTCCAGGATTTCTCCGCCATATCTCTGTAGAATCTGGGATCTATCTGGTATCCAGAAGCGAGGCCATGCCAATCGAATGGATCTAAACACTCTACCCAGTGGACATTGATGGATATATTGATGCATTCCCCGCTCCCCGCACCCAGCTCCCTTCGTGTCGCCCTCCGGCTTCTGGGCAAAGTTTGAAAGTTAATTAATGACATTTACTGGAACATCTAAAAACTAATTATGCATAAAATGGCCAAGGTATTATTGCAAGCCCACTATAAATTTTCACAAACTGTGCAGCAATCGCACAAGCACGAACAACAAGAACAACACCGATAACAAACTAACCCTGATTATACGAGTACGTACGTACGTACGTACGTACGTCCACCTGACCCAGAGCCAGAGTGCCGGGCAAATCGATTAGAACAACAAGGAGCGCTACAACGGTGAGGCAATTACCAGGGACCCCCCGACAACACAATGACAATGAGGGTGTGTATGTACACGAGGTCTGTGTGTGTGTGCGCGTTGTTCTATAACAACGGCACAAAATACGCCAACAAATCGGCAATTAATCAAGCCGCAACTGCATAGTAGAGGCGGAGCAGGAGCAGGAGGAGGAGCAGGAGAAGGAGCAGGAGCTAGAGCTGGAGGATAAGGATAAGGAGCAGTGGGGCAGCAAAAGGAGGAGAAGTCGAGTCAACTGTCGCTTGGCACTTTAACAATATTTATGCCGAGTGGCAAAACAAAAGGACAATACAGCAGACAGGGTATGCAAATGCTAGGGGTGAGGATACCCTATAAGTACAGATGCTTCATGGAGTCGTATAATCATGATAGATCTGGTTAGAATGGATCGATTTAATCATTTGAACCAGCATCTCATCAGTGGGGGCATAGCCCAACCGATATGCTCCTGATCAATCTCTGTGTCCTTGTAAGTAAAAGGATAACAAAGAGCCCACAAGGCGCACAGACACAAGTGGTCTCCGGAGTTCGAGGCGCTCCAGATTCATGTACCAGTAGAGTGGCGGCGAATGGAGTCGAGTGGGGTTAAGTTGGGATAGGGAAGGACACTGGACCGGGGGGGAAGGGAAAGGAGACCGAGCAGCGTCAGACTTCATTTCGCTCTGGGCCAGGCCGGACAATTAATCATTTTAATTAATAGGACAGGTGTGCCACAGGTTGTTGTTGTCGAGACGACTCCCCGACTCGAGAGTAATGTGAGCCTTGCCCTCCCCCCATCACTTCCACCTACATCTGAATATCTGTCTCTATATCTGTCTCTCCCACTTTGTGTCTCCTTGCAGGCGTGCCATCTTGGCCAACGGAGACGTGACAGGAGCGCGAACATTGGCGGGGATTTGGAAGAACGATTATTGGGGCACTCCGCTGGCGGACAGCGGCTCCCACGGCTCCTGGCGCCCGTTGTGCGTGCTGAGCTTCCGTCTGAACTTCCTGGCGGGTGGCCTGGCGGCCACTGGCTACCACGTGATCAACGTGCTGCTCCACTGCCTGGCAACATGGCTGCTGGTGCTGGTGGGGCGTACCCTGCTCCCCACCCGGGCCGGAGTCCTGGCCGCTGGCGCACTCTTCGCCGCCCATCCCGCGCACACGGAGGCTGTGGCCGGCCTGGTCGGGCGTGCCGATCTGGCGGCCTGTGTCTGCTATCTGCTCACGTACCTGACCTATCAGCGGCACATGCGGAGCCGGGAGTGGAGCTCCCTGGCCCTCACCCTCCTGCTCGCTCTGGCCGCGCTGCTCTGCAAGGAGACGGCCATCACGGCCGTCCTGCTCTGCGGACTCTGCGACGTGCTACGGGGCCTGGAACAGTCCGATAAGGTGAGTCCCCTACTTTATCTCAGTTGTACCCATTAGTCGTCGTGGGGTTAGGTTTATCTACATACATATGTTTGATTGCAATCTTTTGAAGGCTATACATGTAGGGTTTCTATTAGAATCCGCATCTGTTTCCATTGCAACACGACAAATAGCGAAATCACTCATTCAGCGCTCTCGAGACTCATTTTTTCGCCACACTCTCTGAGTCACGCCATCTGTCTTTTCTGCGACGCAATTACCATGTCGTTCTTTCTCATTCTAACCCACACGCATTGCCACAAAGGAACACGCTCAACGCGCGCTCTCTTCTTCTTGTCGCTTTTGATCCTCTCTGAGCGAGTTGCCTCTCTCGCTACGCACTCTCTCCCTTCCACCTACACAGCAGTGAACGAGAATAAGCATGCACAGCAATCGCACAGGCAGTGGACAATAACAAACGGTAAATCGTAAAGAAGGCAACAGAAGATCTCACTGCGTAGTAAATTGTTCGACAGCAAACAGACCAAAATACACTGAAAATTATGTCGGGAGCCGACATACACTTAACACAACTGATATTTAAGCTCCGTTCCGAGTATCTCCAACCCTTTATCACTTTCCGATCCCAACACAACTTCTGTTCCGACTAATACGCTATCAATTACTCATAACTGCTTTCCCTGTTGCTGATTTCTCAAACCTCCTTCCAGTATCGCCTTCGTTCGCTGTGCATTCTGAGCGTCTTCCTGTTCTGCGCCCTGTACTGCCGCCTGAGCCTGCTGCCCCGCCCTGCCACGCCTTTTGCGGCCGCAGACAACCCGACGGCCCACGAGGCGTGCTGGTGGACGCGGACTCTGACATTCCTGTACCTGCCAGCGGCGAACTTCCGGCTGCTGCTGTGGCCGCAGGTCCTCAGCTTCGACTGGGGCATGGAGGCCGTGCCGCGCATCAGGACGCTGTGGGAGGCGCGGAACCTGCTAAGCGCCGGGTTTTACGGATCTCTGCTGGCCGTGGCCTGGCGGGGCGCCCGTTTGCGCTCGTGCTCCCCCGTGGACTATGCGGCTGTGGCAAGCATTTCGCTGCCGCTGCTGCGGCGCATTGGAAGCAACAGCTGCCACACCTGGCTGGGCCTGGCCTGCAACTGCCACCATCAACTGAAGGAGGAGCCCCGATCCGTGGAACGTCAGCACTCGACTGGAGGCACTGCATCCAGCGGCTCCTCGTCGTCGGTTCCCCTGATGGGTGTTGCCTTCCTGGTGCTGCCGTTCCTGCCCGCCAGCAATTTGCTCTTCCACGTGGGATTCGTGCTGGCCGAGCGCGTTCTGTACCTTCCGAGCGTGGGCTACTGCCTCCTCTTCGGCTACGGCTTCGGCAAGCTCTGGCAGCGCTCCAAGGGCTCCAGGATGCTGCTCCTCTGCTGCCTGGGCGTGCTGCTGGGCGCCTTCAGCCTCCGCACCGTGCGCCGCAACCTCGACTGGCGGGACGAGGAGCAGCTCTACCGCAGCGCCATTCCCGTGAATCCGCCCAAGGGTAAGCTGCACCATTACTGTCATCCTGTACACTCCATTATACAGAATAGATTTATATGTATTTTCGCTTCTCCTGCAGCTCTGGCCAATCTGGGCAGCGTCCTGAGTGCCCACGGACGCTACGAGGAGGCGAAAGTGGCTCTGACGGCGGCCATCGCACACCGGCCCCACATGGCGGATGCGCACTTTAATCTGTGAGTAAACGCTCCGTATCCAGTCACGCCCGCAACCCTTTTGCAAATTTAAGCGAAGTTCGCGCCTGCCTTTGCCCCCGCCCCCGCCCCCGCACCCGCCCCTTTCTGTGGCACGAAACCTGAATCCACAAAATGATGTCGGTTTTTGCTGGAAGCCTTTTCAAAATTCAAAAGCTCAAAGTGAATGGCTGTGGCGACCTTGGGCGCCTCGAGGTGGGTGGATTAGGGAGCGGCTATTGCACTGCATGGCTGCTCCTAATGCCAAATGGCAGCTGCTTCGGCATCGGCTTCTGTTTTGTGCTGTTCATGCAAAAAACGTTCGGACAACATCTGAGGAAAAAAGCGAGAAAGTCGCAGAAGGAGCAGGGCGAGCAGGGGAAGGAGTGGACCGAAGACCGCCCCAGACGCATCGCGCATACAAATCAACCCGGTCAGATCTTGAGCTCCTGCGCATTCCGGCGCGGGGGTGCCTGTTTTGCATCTTTTGGATGGCAATTTGCATGCACTCGGCAGCCATCAACTGCAAATAGCTGCTGGATGCACTTTTTTTCTACGCAGAAGCACCCCCACCCACAGCCCCACCCGCAGCCCCACCGGGCTCTGTTTGGTCGTTGTCGAGCTTTGTACCTTTGAAAGAGGAGCGAATCGTTCGAAACAATATGGCCCAAATGAATGCAAGAAGCCTTTTCCGCCCTAATCCCCTCTAGATATGCTGTTAATTAGGCCAAAAGTGAATGGGGCTGCGCCGGGCCCTAGATTCCTCGAGATATACTCGTCGCACTACTTGCAGCTGGAACTGTTTGCACAGGGAGTTCTATTTGCACATTCGAGGCACATGCTCCATCTAAATGAGGAGGAAATGGGCTGGGCCAGGGGGAAGTCCTGATTTGATTGCTGAGCAATGAGCAGTGACTGCTCGGATTCGGATTCATGCAGCACTCGTATCGGTTTACTTAACTTTGGAGAACGGCTTACACGATTATCTATTAGTAGACTTGAATCAGTCACAAAATTAACGAAGATGAGGCGTATCTTACAGCACAGATAATATTCTTTGAGTTTTGAGAATGAAAGTCGCCTTTGGCCCTTGTCTGGGCACTCTTAAGACAATAAATATACGAGTATTCTGTGTGTGTATGCACGTACAGCCGTCGTACATCAATGCTTAATGCATCAGCTGTTTCGATTGCATTCATTCGGCATTCCAAGAGCCATTCCCCTTGTCTTATACGAGTATTGTACAATAAATATACGAAAGCTCCGACATATATTACGTACTGCTGGGAACAGAACAACAATAACATCACTGGGATTGGAATAGAAAAATTGTAACAACAATGGAGAAATTGGCATTTCTGCTTACAAGCTGCACTTGATGCAACAATATGAGAAAGGAAAACTGCTGACGCATGACGCTGGCATCCTGCTTATCCCGCACTCCACGCCACGCCACGCCCCGCCACGCCCCGCCACGCCACCCATTTCTGGTGGGGCCAATGACACTCGACTTTGGACATATGGGAAACAGACTATCCCACACACACACACCCCAGCAGTGCAGCTCTGGGTACTCCTAGTCGTATTGCAATGCACTCGCTGCCTCGACCGCCAACTGGGAACGCCGAGGGCAGACACTGCCAGATTTGGGGGAGTGCTCTGCATTACGAGAGAAGCGCCAACATGCCAACGCTTAACGCTTCGCACTCGGTGCCCCATCGAAGGGGAGCCTGGGCCAGAGATGGCAAAAGATTTCTCAAAAGTTTAGGGAAGATCCAGATATCACCAACAGGTTTTCCTTTAAAACAGAGCGTTTTATTTGGCTTTATTTCAAGAAATTCTATGTAATGTATTCCCTTCCAAAAAAGCAGTGAAGGAGCTCTTACTAGTTGGTGTTTTTCTCCACAATTTCCCTGGCCGCATCCACTGTGGCCTGGGCATGCCAATTCTCCACTTCCTTTGAATATGCAGAACGTCATTTTCAATGCTGGTCGCTGCCCGGGCCCCCCTCTCCCTCTCTGCCGCACGCACACACACACACAGCTGCTCCGTCGAGGCTCATACGCCGTGTTGGTGTTGTCATTATTGTTGCTGGCATTTCTGCCGTTGTTGCCGGTGCCGTCGCCCTGCTTCTTGTCGCTGTCGTTGATTATTGTGTTTGACATAATAGGCTTTACGCTCCAAAAAGGGAGAGTAAAAGACGTACACGAGAAATCCGTCCGCTTTGGTCCTTGGGCAAATTGTAGGTAAATCCCCTGCTCGCTGCCAAGTTTTTTCCCACTGCTTCTTTCTTGAGGGAAGCTGCTCCGGGATGGGGACGGGGACGGGGACGGGGACGGGGGTACGGGGTACGGATAGCAATGTGCGTCCAATACAAATAATTGCACAAAACTCCCGAGAGCTAGGGACACTGGCACGAGCTGGGGAGAAGCATTCATGGAAGGCGTAATCATACACGATTCCGTCCGCCTTCGTTGCGGAAAAGCGAACACTAAAACTACGGCAAAACCTTCAATGCACTGAGCCGCATCTGCCGCACTGATTGTGTGCGTATTAAGCGCTTTGTTTCCATGGAAGCCCTACGAATATGGGTATTCTTCGTTTTCCTATTTAAATAAATACTTAACCGGAATGCTTTGTTTTACTCCCAAAAGCTTCTTTGCACTGCATTCTCCTATTTGTGTGCATATTATGTGCGTGTGTGGGTGTGCATATTTACATATATACAATGGGATTATCCGCTTATGGAAAACATGGACATTAATGCTTGTATTTTATTTGAAAATCGAGTTTGTTTTGAATTGTTTTTACAAAAACATTTCATTTATTTTTGAATAAAATGCGGAAATAAAAGTTTCTAGAGTAAATCATTTATTTTGTGGCTTAAATTAGTTTTTTTAATATAAATCTCTGCAAATATCTAAGGTTTGGAAAATTATTCAAAATATTAGTTGATAAAAAATTAAAATATTAATTTAAGAGCAAGTTCCTGGGCATTTGAAAATCTTGTATCATCCTTTGGAAAAATAGGAAAATAGAGAAGACTAGAGAAACTATCAAAAGAAGGAAACATACTCGTTTATATATCTTTGGACGTCTTAGAGGAAATTTATAATAAGGCCAATGACATATAAGCAAAGCGCGAACTTCATAACTGCTAGGGCTTCACGCCTGGAGGTTATTAACTGGGCTCAAAGCGATACACGAGACGTTCGGCCCGCGGGCTGTAAAGATGTCCAGGCCTTGGGGAAGCCAAGGCAAAGAACTCATTTCGAGGGCCGTAAAAGTTTAAAGCGCTTTTCGCTCCCACTCAGGCCTCCTTTCAATCTCCGTCGCTCTGGCCTGTTCGTTATCCGCCTGCCTCTCGCCAGTGTTGCCTTTGCAGCTTATCGAAAAGTTGTCTGATTGAATTTTTGCCTTTTCCACTTGCAGAATGCAACAGTGGACCCCACACTGCCCCACACTACCCCACCCTTGTCTTGTCCCATCCTCCAGCTAATCTGAAAGTGGGCAGAGGAGATTGAAACATTTACATTATGAAAGCTTTAAGAGATTGCCGAGCTGTGAAGTTTTCATTGTCGGAACAGGGCAGCACTTTCCGATTCCTAATCGAAAATCAATGTCAGGTGCCCTTCAGCCGCCCAGCAGGGGGGCTGGAACGCGGGGTGGGCGTGTGCGTCGCGGATAAGCAGCTGTTTGTACATTATTTACTCGTAAGCCATCAATAGCCCGGATATCTCTGGCTGTGCACCTTGCGCCCGATACCTGCGGCTACAAATTTTCAGTGCCTGCCACGTGCCTTCAGCCGAGTGAAGCATCCACCTTGCTGTCTGGCTCTGGATCTCCCCCTACATCTGCTCCCCGTCTAGTCGAGCGCCAGTCAACTGTCATGGATTTATTGTGCTCTGTGCTCTGTGCTCTGTGCTGATGCTGCTCTGATTTTTAGCTGCAAAATGCCACAGCAAAGGATAAGTTGAGTGGTGGGTGGTGGCGGGTGGCAGGTCCGAGGGGTGCCACCGCTGGTGGGGCGGAAGTCAAAGTAACAGGCAACCAAACACCAAAACCAAAAAATCACTGAGCTGTATAATTCGATTTCTCTTTTTCACTCTTTTTTCCCCCCCTTTTTTTCACTCTTTTCCCCCCTATTCTGTGATTTTTGAGTCTTGCACTTATTTTGCTGCTGTGTTTTTCTACCTGAAAAAAACAAAAAACTTTAAAATAAATAGAACAACATGGCTTGTATTTCTTTTCCCCACATATGTGTACATATATGCACAGATCCGACCGGAATGGAATAGAATTCTATGGAATAGAATAGAATAGAATACTCAATATTCAGTTGAGCAAATCCCTCCGTTGTCCGTCTGCCATTCGTATGCATTCACTTGGCTCCATTTTGGTTGCGTTACTCCAGCGAGTTCTGGGGGAGGGGGGAGGGGGGTTCGACGAAACTGTGGCCAACGAGGACCTTTCACAGAGAAAGCCGAGAATAAAATTTAAACAAATTCAACTCCGGCTACGACGACATGTGCGAGTGTTTATTGAATAGTTGGCATGCCAGCCCGTAGATATCCCGAGACTTGTCGGTGACTCCGAGAGGGGCTTTGATGGGCCAATATAAACATATGAAAGATACATTTTGGAGAACTTTTAATTCCTCATAGAACCTACAACATTTGAAGGGTTTTTTAATAAGCTGCAATTCATATTTAGACTGCAGCAAAGAGCTCCAAAATGTGTGCAGCTATTGCCCGAATCTCCCTTCAAAGGCCCCTGTATGTACACATATGTATGCTCACACATATGTACATATGTACACAGTGCATGCACATGAAACACATGTTGTAAGCTGCTTTTTGTCAAAATCCAAAGTCTCTTCAATCTGCCCTCTTGTTGATTTTATAGCCTTGTCGCAACTCAACACAAATTTCAGAGCGCGCCGTTTGTTTGCACAACTTTGTTGGTTTCTACTTTTTTGCTGTTGTTGTTGTTGTTTTTTTTTTTTGTATGCAGATATTTGGATATTGCTGCTGTGCCGGAGCAATCTGTGCTTCGGTTTATTTGGCACTGTTTTGGAATAAAATGCTGCCTTTATTTGAAACCACTTATCCATGCATACGGGCAGGCGAAACTTTGCGTATACCTAGCTAAATATTCAAATATCCCGTTATCCCAGCCCAGGCATGTATGAATAGCCATCGGGGAGGTCCAGCTCCACTGGGCATTGGGTATGGGGGTATGGCACCACCCACTCGGGGGCAGCTATGTTAATTAAATGAAGCCCGGGGAAAGTCCACTTGAAGGTCAACATTCAGCATATTCCAGCACTCGAAGGACGCGCTGCAATTAGCAGTGGAAACCGCACAAAGCAGAGGCAGAGTTAATTTACTCCCAACACTATTAGTCGCTGCAATCCCCAAGTTAAGTAACTTTACTTTCTATCTTCTGCTCTCTTGCCTCTTCCTCGGCGCTCCCTCGGCGTTCCCTGCCTTTTCTGAATTTTTTAACGAATTTTGCTTTATGATGCCTCGCGAGTCGCCCGACAGAAGGGGCAGAGAGAAGAACTGTGGAGCGTGTTCCCAAAGTGGATTTCTTTGGAAATTTCCCTGCATTGTTGGCAGGGAAAACAATTTGGCGTTCCTCAAAGCAGCAGAAGAAATGGCTTAAATTAGCTTTAGTGGCTGGAACATTTTCGGGGATCCTCTTGCATCCATGTGTTCTCTGAGACGATATGCTGTCTATTTTCAGGGGCGTGGTGCATCAGAAGCAGCTGAACTTCAGTTCCGCTGTCTCCAGCTACCGGCGGGCCATCGGCCTGCGTCCCCAGCTGGCCGTGGCATTCCTGAACCTGGGCACATCCCTGCTGTCCCTGGACAGCCAGCACGGGGAAGCCGACTCAGTATTCCGGTCTGGAGCGCGTCTGCAGGGGCATGGAGTACGAGATCGCGTGGCCCACGAGGAGGCGCGCTATGCCTGCTACCTGCAACTGGGCTCCCTGTACCGCTCTAGGAACAGGCTGCAAGAGGCAGCGGCCGTGCTGACAGAAGCCTTGGAAGCCCTCTTCCGGCCACGACAGGAGCAACGAGCTACGCTGCACTTTCGCTTGGGCGAGATCTATGCGGAGATGCAGCAGTGGGAGGAGGCGGAGCGGCAGCAGCGATTGGCCATGCAGCTGCAGCCCCAGCACGGAGCTGCCTATGTGACCTTTGGCCAGACACTGGCCAGGAATGTGAGTACAGATAAGCCCAATGGCCACCGAGACCGACTTGACTGACCTTTGCCCCAATCCTACAGAGCAGTCGCCATGCTGAGGCGGAGCTCTGGTTCAAGCGGGCCCTCCAGACAGCCCCCCTGGAGCCCAGCTCCCACCATTACTATGGTAAGTAGTCCACGGGGAGTCCTATTATGAGTGGGAAGCACCTATGGTTATTCGCTTATTCCTCGCAGCTGATTTCCTGGAGCAGCAAGATCGCTACCAGGAGGCACTCGGCCTCCGCCTGAGGGCCGCCGCCTTGGCGCCCAAGGACTACGCCCTGCACTCGGCCGTGGCAGATGCCCTGCGTCTGCTGAACCGCCTGGTCGAGGCGGAGCTGTGGTATCGCAAGGCGGTGGCCCTCCAGCCGCTGGCGGCCCACGCCCACGCCAACCTGGGCGCCATTCTGCAGATGCGGGGCATCAGGCAGGAGGCCGTCGATAGCTACCGCAGGGCCCTGCAACTGCAGCCAGGACACGCCACCAGTCGGGCCAATCTGGCGCGTATGAAGGCGGCCCTGGACACCAACACGTAGCAGAGGCAGAGCTTTACTTGGTGGGACTGAGGGCAAATAAATGTAGATAGCAATTGAAGGAACTGAACTCGAGATTAATTGAGGGACAGCTGGAAGTCCCATATATTTTTGAAATAAAGAAATATTCCAAAGTGTGTGTTTTCTGTGCGTAGTGGAGCCCTTGCTGATGTGAAAGTGCCAATCTGTTGCACAAGTATTTCAAAAGTCCCCAGCCGAAACCCGCACAAAGAAATATTTCCATATCAAGGGCCATCTCGAACCAGGACCAGGTGGCGACCCAAACATAGACGAACGGCTGAAACCAAAGAAAGGGCGACCAACGCAGGGCCACGACGATAGACAAAGCCAGAGACAGAAACAGACGTGATAATATCAAGTGGCTTTGGCAAAAAACGACATGGAAACGGAGCCACAGGGCAACCGCAGCAACAGACAGAGGTGTGCCGGGGGCTGGGATGGGGTTGGGACTCTGGGATTCAGAGAACTTCATGCGAGAAATAGTGCTTACTAAGCATTAAATTATAATTAAATTTTAAACAATGAAACGGAGCCAAGGACAAGGCTCTGGCTGGGTCTGGAGCTGGAGCTGGGGCGCGCGAGAGATCCCAAAAAGCTCTTAATCACAAACATGCGCAGCCACTTCAAAGGTGAGTCCCGTCCTCGTCATATCAATGCGGAGAATGGAATTGCCCAAACTGAGGAGCCCGACTGGATGTCTGCCAGCCACGCTGGCTGTTGGGCTGGCTGTTGGGTTGGCTGTTGGGCTGGCTAAGCATATGCGCATATAAATTAACATAGACACCCGAGTATTTAATTAAAATTCCATCAGCAGCACACCGAGATGGAGCGAACACACACACACAGATGCAGATACAGCTCACACTCACACACACACATATGACAGGTGGGTGATGGGTGTGTGGGTGTAGACACACATTTTAGCGCTAAGCCGAGCAGATGCCCTCGAGTAAATCCACCAAAAACCACACGGCAGACGGCCGCCCTAGACGCCGCACGTTCCACGTCCAACGTTCAACGTTCAACGAAATCTGTGAAACGCCTTTGGGGCCTACGCCGGTCCGGTCGAGAGTGCAAACAAAAGGGAGTAGCCCCAGAACACACACACACCCCCACCCCCACCCCCACACAGAGACCCAGAAAGATAAGCGAGTGGGCCGGGAGACTTGGGTTCCCGTTGGCTCCAGTGGCAGGAGAGGCCCAGCCAGGACAGGTACGGATAGGTGGCAACAGGAGGTGCAGACAGCTGCCGGCGGGGCTTCTGCGTCGATACTGACTGATGAAGTGGCACTTCTGACACTGCCCCTCCCGCACGGAGCCAGAATTATAATGATAATCACGACGGCGACGATGACTATGATCACGTTGAGCACGGAATCTTAATTAAGTTTAAGCAGTTAGTCGAGCAAAGGTTGAACTGGACGAAGGCCTGGGATTCCATAATCAAGTATGAATTTGAGAGTCCCTGCCTCTGTCCCTGTCCCAGTCCCCGCCCTGACCTTTGGCAGATTAGTGCGTATTAGTTAGCTCAAAGCCATGTGTTGGTGGCTTAACCCCTTGACACATGGTCTGCTGGATGCCTATTACTTAGAATAGAGTTTTGAACGTATTCATTAGGAATCTTAAATGATCTTTTACTCAGCTTATGAGGTGCATTTCAAAGAACACGTCGGTACACTAGTACGAGTACTATTCGACATATCTAACTATCCTCTGTTGCCCAAAAGGTACCCTTCTGGTAGTCCCCACATATGTGGTACCCACAAAAGTAGTAGCACCTGCACCATTCAGTCGTTCGTGGGTTAAATGAATCCAAAGAGAACCACACCACACCTCAACATCACTGCCACAACCCCAGTCTCCCCCTCTTCCCCTCTCCCGCTCTTCCACTCTCAGTGGCTAAATCCGAGTCGGCAAGTTGCCCAATGAGTATTTAATGCGTCAAACTGTTTAAATTTCTATTGGATTTTTTGTTTTGACTTTCCGTTTGACTTTTGTTTTGGCCACAGATGCTGTTGCTGTTGTTCTTGTTACGGATTCGGATTCGGATTGTGCAAAAAGTGACGTTCGGCTTTCAACTTTTTGACCGGATACGGACACGGAAGAAGAGGCCCCACACACATACACACACACACACACACACATGCGATATACCCGTACATGCACATCACGCAAATGGTCATCCTGTGGAACCATTTATTTTCCACTTTGGCCAAAAGACAAAAACAACAAAATCATACACACACGGAGATCCGAGTACGCCGGACATCCCCGTGTGGGGGGGGGGAGTGAAAGAGACAGCGCACGAGGGAGGACTGGAATAAAAACTAAAGGAAAAAGAAAAGTTTTTAGTTAGCTTTTGATGAGGGTCAACTCAAACTCAACGGGTCTGTGGCGCAATTTTCAAGTGGCCTCCGCTCCCAAGCACCCAGGCTCCCATGCACCAAAGCCTGGGAGCCTGGGAAAAAAAACGATGACACACAATAGTTGGAACATTGTTTTTGACATGACTTTCTATCAAAAACAAATTTGCCCTTCTTTGTTCTCCTATTATTTCGTATTGCCCATCTCTCGTTTTTGTCACAAATCGAGTCAAATATGTGGCGGCAGCATTGAGGAGGTGAAAGCAGCTCGAGAGTGCGACATGTAAAGACAATTGCCAACTTAATTTGTGGAATTTGCTCGCAAAACATATACAATCAGAAGACAAAAGAAATATGAGAATGCATATTCCTAAATTAAGAGGTGCTCCAGGCCAGGTGCTCTTCAGAATGGACCTGGAAGGGCACTAGATTACCCCGTAACTCCTACCCTTTTGGGATATTATAATTCAGAGCCACAGAAACAAGTCTCTTTAGCCGCAAAGTAAATCATGATCATCGCCACCAGCCTTTTTCTCATTTATAAAGCTCCAGATAAGGCTCCAGCCGCCATATAGCTATTAGCGTTAGAGGATTAGATCAAGACGGTGGAATCTGTGGATTAAGGCTGACATCGGGCTGCGTATACTTTTTCCGACTTAAATATATCGTGAATTTAAATGTACATTTAAATAATTATGTTTGGGGTCGATTTAGGTATTCGACCCGCTCCTAATAGGTTTTTCGAGACACACAGCTCTGCAGGCGTCCGCGTCTGCTGTAGGCTGCGGCTAACCACAAACAGGCATGCAACAAACTGATTGCATCAGACGCATCGTAAGCCGCAATCAGAGAATGCAACAGACACAAAAATGTCTCTTCATAATGCGGGAGCCCATCAAAATCAGTGCAATGCACACACGCACTGCAGGGGGCAAAGGGCGAAGATAGACGCAGGGAGACGCAGGGAGACGGTGGCAGAGTGAGACAGAGATAAGCCGCACACCGCTGCCGTCAGTTGCAGCAATTGTCTGATCCAATGCTAACGCCAACCCCAGCGATTGAGGCCGACCAACCAGCTAGCTGGCAGTGGCAGCCGCGGCTTATACGTGCCCCATACACGCACACACACACACACAAGTACTCCCTTCCTCACGCACAAGGCCGCAAGCAGAGGCGTTCTCTCTGGAGCAAGACGGAGCAGGCAGCGCTGCCAACTGCTGCCAGAGTCGCAGGAGCATGCAGCGAGTGCTGCCAACTGCACGAACGCCTCCTGATAGCAGCGCCTGCCGTACTTAACTCGGCAAGCAATTAGTTAGAAATTAAATTCTCTCGATGGTTTCATGCCAGACGTTGCATGCAACATGCAACCAAACTTCGGGGTGAAAGTGAAGTATTTTGGGGTAAGCCGCGATGTCAGCATCAGTAAGAGACAATGGGGACACGAACGCTCTTACGGCGTGCATAGTGGTAGTTAGAGGGGGGTCGGTGGGTCGGGGGTTCCAAGGACAAAGCATCATCACATCAGTGATGTATTTTTGATTGCAGCTGCTCCAAAACACAGCAATCAGCAAAAATTGCGGGGGCGAAGCAAAAACAAAACAAAACGCCAAAACAGAGAGGGCAGAGGACAGAGCACAGAGCACAGAGCAATCATCATAACCTGTAGCTTCGGGCGAGGCATAACCATCCGAGCCTCCCTCTGCCGCATCTACCACTCCACTAGCACCAGCCCCAACGGAAATACAACTCCGGGATGACGAGATGCCGAGATGCCGAGATGCCGTGAACCCAAAAGCGAAAGTTCACACTGAAATTGAAACCCGGGCGGAATCTGTGGCATAATCTGAGGCGCAAAATGAAGATGACAATAAATTCGATTCGATTTCGGTTTTGATTTAGTTTAGTTTAGGGAATATCATCATCCTTGGATTACCACGCAGTGAACGCAAACGAGCGACTGCCAGTCCCTCCCCTGGTGATGCGGATGCCAGAGCCCAAGATGATGATGATGATGATGGGAACGATTGTCGCCTTATGGCAAAAGGAAAGTAAACACAAATAGATAACAGACAACAAATAAAAACCAGCAAAACGAAATGAAAATAAGACAAAGCACACACAAATATCCCAGAAGAGAACGGAACGAGGACGGTTCGCGATTCTTGGATACCAAATTCATGGAACCCAAGGACCCCAAAATCCAACGACCACCCCACTGCCAATGGCAAATACATCCTCCAAATCCTTCTCAGCTTAAGTTGGCTTTGAAATTTTGATTGAAAAAATCACACAGAGCAAGAGAGAGAGACAGAGAAGGAAAAGACAAACTAAGTCAGGCACATCCCTCAGAAATGGGCGACAAATAGCGAAATGTTTCCACAGAATCCGATAATGACTGAGCGAGCGATGGGTGGTCGCACCGGACCACCTTCTCCCAATAATTCATCCTCTGCACTGTTGCCGATATTTTGATTTGCGAAATTCCAATTATGAGACCCACTTCAGCTGGGTTTATCCGCTTTGCCGGACGGTCTCGAGTCTGACTGTTGATTCGGAGAGATACTCGAAATTGTGCGGGGCAATATAATTGGAATTGAAGTGCAATGACCGCAGGGAATGCTGGAAAAGTAATATTTTTCATAGATTATGCCTTCCCTGATCATTCAATAGTTTCAAGAGATTTGTTATAGGAAGTTCCAATTACAACCCTCTGGGTGGAGCGTGGCAAAATTGTTATACCCTGCCA